AGACGCTTTCCAGGCGGCCACGAGGTACGTGCGCTTCCCGGGCGCAGACACGCGCCGAGCCCCGCTCCGCTGAGTCCGTGGGGTGTTTGCACGAGGCCAGGTCCTTGCGGGGCGCAGGTGACGCGCCCGCCGTCAGCACCCGGCTTCTGTCGAGCGGGACGCCGTCGCCGCGGGAGGGCCGCCCGCGTCCTCCCGTTTTCAGCCACGCATCTTAGAGTGGAAATCGTGCTGTGTATCCACTTGCGTTCTTTCCCCCCCAGAGGCTGGTCAGAAGCCTTCCCTTCGTGCCAGTAGATACTCTTTGTAACTATTTTCCTACCTCGAAACGTTTTGGTGTGTGGTTTTTACTAATATAAAGCTGGGGGGGCGGGGGGAGCATATTTGCATCAAGATCACCGTCCCCATTTGGCAGCGCTTTGGAAAGGGCGGATAGTAGGAGAGGAGGTGCTGGGTCAGGAGCGTGGGGTCCCGGCCGCTGGGTGCGTGCTGCCAGGAAAGGCTGCAGGGTGCGCGCACCCACGGCCCTGGGGGTCGCGAAGCACAAGTGTCGCCTTGCCCAGGCCTTGCCAACATTGGGTACTGCCAGTTAGGTTTCTTGCTGATGGAAGGTGCCACCTGTTGCCTTGAAAGCCCATTTAAAATGAGGTGGTCAGAAGTGAGCCCTGCGAGTATCTGGGGAAATCCTATCTCCGCCTGGAACCGCCCAAGGAAAGGTCAAAGGCAGCTGCGGGACTGGCAGGTGCCCAGGCCAGCGTGTGCTCACGGCTGGCTTTCTTATTGCTGCCCCGACCGTGTACCCTATAGAAGATACAAGCATGATTGCTGAAAAATATCCTCCGCAACTGGAGGAGCTGACGTTCATAGAATCATCTAAGGAGAAGGAGGGCCCTGTCTTCCCCTGTAAGACTGAAAATCGGTTCCCAGGCACGTTCCTACTATGTTTACCCCAGTAAAGAAAAGTCGCTCAGCCTTCCCCGTAGCCACCGCCCTTCCCATATTATCTTTCAGTGTTGCTTTTGTGGCGCTTGCAGATGGTTTCTATTTCCAAATCTCTGAAGCCTCCAGAAATTTATTCCTAGACTTCTTTGCTTGTTACAACCCCATCTCCGCCAATCCCCTTCGCTAGTCAAAAATCTGTTTTCTGCATTTCTGGCTGAGATCTTGATGGCGCTGGGAAGTATGACTTGGAGTTGTTTAGATCCTTGGGGGTGTGAAAGCAGGAAAACCACACTTGCTTACCACACTTTACCACCCATTTCTCGCCTTTCTGACTTCCGGTGAGAAATGGGAATGTTGTTCGATGATACTGTTAGAAGACAATTTTCAGTGAAAGGTGAAGTCACGACTCTCATACAGGTATAAAAATGAACATGCGTTAAAGGTTCTGTTTTATTTATTAAAGAGGGAACCCAGCAGATTTTATAAATGGTTGAAAAAAGAAGTCAAGAAGCACAAATTTATGTGGAGTAGAGAGAGGACTGCTTCAGGAAGGTACACCTTAGAGAGGGGTGAGGACTGGCAGCTTCTTGGGATTTGCAGATCAAACATACACCAGTGATCTCCATGGGTCTTGACTTGTAATTTTGTGGAGGCACTTGCTGTGCGAAGCAGGGCTTGAGGCTGTCCTGGAAAAAAACACTTATTCATGACAGTTGTTACAGAATGGCACACAGACCTTGTTCAGGACCATTTTGACAGATGCAGGGGCCACTGCAATGGGATTTTTGCAGCAGCAGAGAGATTGAGCTCAACTCTGAACACAACAAGGAAAAGTGGAGATTTATAGCCAAGGAGCAGGGGAGGGGGTCAGTGGATTGAAAATCACTAAGGAAGCATTAGGGTTAGGAGAATTCAGCTAAACCGACTTGACAGATTTTGGCAGAAGACAAAGCCAAGGTGATCAGACATCACCTGGGGGGTTGGAAGAGGGTGAGGGTCTGGATCAGATATGGAGGGTAGGGGATTCTACTAAGCTACTTAGCAGGATTCTTACTAAAACTGGGCAATGCAGAGACAAACTTGGAAGCCCAAAAGTCAGGGCCTAGTTGAGAATAGTGTTCAGAGGAGTTTGGTCAAGGAGAGAGTCCTTGTCAAGAGACCATCAGTATGTAGGGGAGTGGGCTTTGCAGTCATTCACACAGATGTGGCATCTTGCTTGAATAGTATGGGGGAATCACAAGCATTAGTGTGAATTTAGTCTGGCATTGCCAATGAATGTGCCCATCAGGATGTCCTCTGCAGGAGCATAGCGTGTCTTTGCCAATTCTGGTGCCATGAAGAGGCCCCTGACTTCCAGAGGCTTCACCAGTGGGAACCAAAGATCTGACCTTAGGGTGGCCAGGATGTGTTGCCAAGTCCACCTGCTGTGATACAGATAAGCCTTTCTGGACACACATTTTATGAGGACCTCACCGTACATGTCAGACCCACAGTCCCATCCCCTTCTAGGAGGAAACTGGAAACCTTACCACTCACAGTGGATGACTCTATAAGTTCATATAGAAAAAACTGTTTCAGTGGAAAAGTATTCATTGTCCACAGCACACCCTTCTGGGCTGTCTGATTCTAACTCTGTTCATTGTATTTGAACGAGTTTGCAATTCTTCGAAAGTCCTGGGTAACTAATAGATTTGTAGATTCTGTCCTGCCTGCTAGAGATTTAATTGGCTTCTTCCCCTCCAGTGGAAAATCAGTTTTGTCCCCACTTGCAATTCATCTCAATCTTTCTTTATGACATGTAAATTTATGTTCTTTTTTTTTTTTTTAACCAGTTACATAACATCTGTCTCATTCCCTCCTATCGTATGTGTAAAATAAAATCTTTAATGTGTTCATTTTCATATCTATGAGGGTCATCGTTTTACTTTTTTCCTAAAATTATCTTTTAACAAATGTGTCATTTGGGGGGAAAGAGCCAAAATCCTGACAGGTATATGTATAGAAAGTTTCTTTCTAGTACAGTCAGTAGAGTGTCAAGGGTATGTTCCCTGAGGCTCTCACTCCACTAGGGGGTACAGTCCGTAGAAACTGCCCTGCCCACTGTGACCTTGGCTCTGGTCACACAGGCTGCTGTACCACGTGACGGGTCTGGCAGGAGCCCAGCCTTCCACACACAGCACACCCAGGCCTGTCCTGGCCACCTCCCCTTTCAGCAGGAGGATAACCTTGCAGGATCAGTCCAGAAAGTGGGTCTCCTGGCTGTGAACACTCTTTTTAGAAAGTGGATATCAACTGCAGCTAAAGTTAAAAGATTCAGGTTCAAGGCTAATTTGGAACAACAGGATTTTCTGTGGTCTCCGTGTCTTCAGGACAGCCCAAGTAAGAAACCAGTCCAAGGAATCAGTTCTCCAACACAGTGCAGTGGACATAAAGTTCATTGCTACTGACATCGGACCTGTTCTGACTTCTCTGACTAATCATAATTCTATAATGTAGCTTATGAACAAAAAAACCCCATAAAAAATAGAGCCAAATTTGATCAAAAGGCTAGCTCTTAATTTCTGTCTCCTTAAAATTGTTATTTCTAGTTATGAACATCTAGAATGTTATGTAAAGTACACAATATAATAGAGCTGCTGCCCATAGTCACATGACCCAGATTTTTAAAAACATTATCTTTTTTCCTATGTACTTCAAATAAAAACTTTTTAAGGAAATAAAATATAACAAGTACAATGAAAGCCAGCAATCTCCTTCCCCTGCCAGTAGCCACTGTCCAATGTTGATGTGTTTTATTCTCTTGAGTTATACTTTAAAAACACTGTACTTATTAATAAAAGATGTATTATTTTGGAATTTTAATATTTACTTAGCCATTATCTTTGTTATAGCATTATGTTTTTGAAATTTATCATATTGATATATGTAGTTTGTTCATTGAACTGCTATGCAATATTCTTTTCATGCCTTTTCTTGTGTCCTAGGGTTGCCATAACCAATTATCATAAACTGAGTGACTTAAGACACCAGAAATTTATTCTGTCAAAATGTATTCAGTCGTGGAGGCCTGAAGTTCTAAACGAAGGTGTTGGTAGGACCCTGCTCTTCCTCAAACCTTTAAAGGAGAATCCTTCCTTGCCTGTCTCCCAGCTTGTGGTGGTTGCTGGCCTTCCCTAGTGTTCCTTGGTTTGTAGATGCGTCACCCCGACCCCTGCCTCTGTCTACCTTCTCTCTGTTGTGTGTCTCTATACCAGATTTCCCTCTTCTGAATAAGGACACCAGTCATTAATTAGATTAGCATCCGCCCTCATCCAGGATGACCTAACCTTAATGTGATTACCCTCTTCGAAGACCCTATTAATTACTAAGGTCCCATTCACAGGTTCTGGGGTTAAGACTTGGTCTATCCTTTTTGGGGGACAGAATTCAACCCACAACAATGAATGAATCATGGTTTATTCCATTCTCCTCCTGATGGTCGATTAGATTGCTTCCAACTTTTGCCATCCCATCTATGCTACCAAGAATATACTTCCATACCCACCCACTGCATGTGTGCATGGGTGCACACACACGCACACACACACATTTCTCTAGGGGATTTCCCTAGGGCATAAACCGAGTAATGGGATTTCTGGGTTGCAGGGTGGCTTCATCATTGCTAGACCTTGAGAGACTTATTTCTAAAGTTGGTATCAGTTTACATTCCACGGGCACCGTCTCTCAGTGTTAACAGACTTATTGACCATCTGTAAGATGTAAAATGGTATGTCATTGATGTTCTTTGTATAATTTTCTTAAATACTAGTGACTTTGACTATCTTTTCATATCATTCACGTGTTCCCTTTTGTGAGTTGCCTGTTCATATCTTTGGAGCATTTTTTCTATTGGGGTTGTCTTTTTCTTCTTGATTTATAAGAATTCTTCATAAGTTTAATCTAGACACAAAATCTTCTGCTTTGAGAATAGTATCTTCTAGTCCGTATCTTGTCTTCTCGCTATGTTTATCTTATCGTTTTAAAAATTTAAATGAAAATTAATTTTTGTTCTTGTTGAGGAAAATCTTAATCACCTATAAAAGTAGAGAGACTAGTACAAAGTACGCTCCTGAACTCACCACCCAGTTCCAACACGGGGACAACACGGGGACACGGGGACATCACGGGGACACGGGGACAACACGGGGACACTCCCTTCCACCTCTTCCGTCCGCTGGGCTATTCTGAAGCCAGCAAACCCCAGGCTTCTGGTCGTTTTATCTGTATGGACATCTTTGGGTTCTGTGTTCCCAGGTTCTCCTTTCTGATGGTGCCTTGACATTTAAACATTCAATTTGAGAATCTGTCTCAAATAGTGGATCTAATCTATTTATATTTATTCGGATCTATTTCAGCCACTTGCTTTCTCCCTTGGCAGTTGATAGGTTTTAACTTTTCTTTCTTCCCCTTTCCCGCTTTGTTTGTTTGGTGAGGCTTATTAGGTTCCTTCCTCATTTCTCCCCACGCTGTCACCATAATTTCTCCTGAAGGTTGTTTATTTGGAGCGCTTCCTTCCGTGTAGCGCTTTATAGTGAGTTCCTTTTTTGATGGGTAGTGTTTTTGGCCTGGATTGTGAAAGTCTCTCTATCAAGTAGATTTGCTTTTCCTTCTGCCTGGTGCCCAGGGCCAATTGTTATGTTAATGTATCAGACCAGGCTTTCCTACTTGAAAAGGACTTTGTAAATTTGGGGGGGGATGGTTTCTTTCTTCCCCCTTCCTCGGCTTCTTTACCATCTTCCTAGTCCTGGTTGGTAGAGTTTTTCTTTTTTGTTGTTGTTTGTTTTTTATTTTTTCCACTAACTCTGAACCTTTGAAGGGCTCTTACATTACTTGGAGAGGTCTCAGCTACAAATCCCATCTTACGGGGTCCCAGGGCCTTGCTGGATGCAGAATGGAGCTGGTAGAGTGGGTCCTGGCTCTGGCCTGTCTCCAGCCTCGCCGAGCTCTGGGCCTACGTTCCCTCCACGCTGACCCTGGTTTTAGTTTCTTCTCCTGGCTAGGGTGCTGTTCCTTTCTTCCTATGAGCTCCACCATATTTTGCTTTTATTTGATGGTTACATTCTTTCTGGTATTTCTAGTGTTTGCCATAGGAACAGAGTCTTATTAGTTCCAATCTGTGGTATTGCCAGAACTAGCCATCACTGATTTTTTTTTCTTCCAGGAAATAGATTGTAAAGGTATGCCTAATAGATATTACACATGTTAAAGGTATATGAGAACATATCAAGCTAATATAAAATTGTTTCCTATAATGTCTTCAGGTGGACCAAATATTATCATTGATTTCTTGCATGAGTACAGTAGGAGTAGAGTTAAAATTAACATTTCTCTGTAATCTTGATTTTAGTTTACTTACTGTTCATAATCTTCGGATTTGCACCATAAGGAATATAAGGCATCTTTCTCTCTCTGCAGCCCAGCTTAAACCTCCCCAATGGCTAACGAAGCCCACCCTTGTCCCTGTGACATTGGCCATAAGATGGAGTATGGAGGGATGGGCCGTGAAGTTCAAGTGGAGCACATCAAGGCTTATGTCACCAGATCCCCTGTTGACGCTGGCAAAGCCGTGATTGTCATTCAAGATATATTTGGCTGGCAGTTGCCCAACACCAGATACATGGCGGACATGATTTCAGGAAATGGATACACGTGCGTATAAAGTTGTTCCTGTGCTTAAATCCATGTAAATTTCAGTGCTCTATATTTTATTCTCCTCAGGGGAAACAAAAACAGCACCAAAAACCCCCTGACTGTATTCTTTTTAAAAATGTTTAACTTTATTTTTCTCGTTGTCACGATTACAGAGGCCCCCATTCCGCCCCCTCCGTTGCCCACCTCCACCCAGCGCCCGCTGCCCCTTCCCTCTGGCCATCGCCACACTGCAGTCTGTGTCCATCGGTTGTGCATGTATGTTCTTGCGTCCAGTCCCTAATTTACATTACCCACTTCCTTAGCTCTCTGGGGCGCGGGTAACCGGGAAATGTCCTAGGAAACTTAAAACACCCACCTGCTGTGCCCCCCGAAGCCACTGCTCCTGCCCGATCCCAGGGCTTCAGTTCTTCCTGGGAGCGCCCGCGTGTGGGGCCCTGCCGGACACAGGTACAGGACACGTGTCCTTGGCAGACCTCGCCAGCTCTGAAAGGGACCCATTGCTCGGCTCTTAGAGCATGTCAGCCTCGAGTCAGATTTCACAGGCAGGGCACCCTGGTCTCCACACAAACGATCATGGCCCCGTCTGAGCTAGAAGTGGCACAGCGACACCTCACTCGGCTCCTCTCTTGTACCTTTGTCCTGTCCCCGGCCAATGCTGCCACCTGTATGCTTTCCACCTGCCCTGGTGTTGGAAACAGCTTCGGTAAAGCACGGAGCAGAAGAGGAACTGTTCTTTCCTCTCCAGCTTCAGAAATCATCAACCCAGCAAGCCTGAGTTTGGAGCACCCTGATTTCTTTTGTTTTCCCCAAAAGAGAAGCTGGACATCAAAGGGTGCACTTTGCTTTTTTTCCTATGTAGAAAGCCCGACTTAAAGGAAGCAGACTCCCTGTTGTGAGTGCCGACTGAAAAGAGGACTTTCACTTGAGTTTTTCACTTTTTCATGTCCCCCAGTTTCGTTTAATGATGAGGCAATTTAACATCCCAGCAGCAAGCCCAGTAATGAAACAAGCGAGTGACAGCCCTGATTGCCTCTGGCTCAGCCAGACCCGCCTGAAGGCTGTGGCAGGCCTACTGTCCTCTCAGTGACCCCTCCACCCCTCGAGGGCCGCACCGTCTTTGTTTTCTCTTTGCAGTTTGGGAAACCGGGGCGTGGAGACAGTTGTGGTTGCCTCAGGTCACCCCGCTGCAGCCCGCAGAGTGAACGGGATGTGGCTTCTGTTGTTTCAGGCGGTTCCTTTAGCTGACAACAGAGTAAATACGTCTGATTTACTGAGCCCTTTCGCACCGTATGACTCATTTTGCCCCTCGAAATAAGCCTGTTGGGCGGTGCTGGGCGTAGACTTTGTCAGATGGAGAAAATGAGGCTAAAAGTGGTTAAATGAAATTTATATTCTTCTGACCCAAATTTCAGCGTTTTATCCTGTCCCTGCAGGAGGAGCTGTGTTCCCCCATCTATGGCGATGGCCCTTTATTATAGGAAACAGGTCTCTGGCCAGATCCGTGTTGGCCTCATCCTTCTGGGTTGACTTGCATGGAAGACTGTGAAAGGGAGCAGAATAAACCGTCCCACAATGTGACGGTTGCCATGGGCATTGTTTTGAGCTGAAGGCAAACAAGACCTAGCAGACTCAAGAAAAACTTTTATCTTTCCCTTAACTACCTAAAAGAGTTTAGATAGGGGGCCTCACCCAGGAAGAGAGTGATTACCAGAAATAATGTTTACCCGAACGGCCTACCTGCACGGCAGGACAGACATCTAATGACCAAACATCTGTTCTTACCGTCCCATCTTCCCTTCGAAGCCCTATCCCAGTCCTCAGCTCAGAATGGCATATAAGCCTCAATTGTCTGACTGACTGCCTTTGGGTCTCATATTTTTATGAGGCTCCCCTACATGTGACATTGTTGATGTAAGAAACGTTCAAATCTGTAGAAAATTTTTATAAGAGTTTATTTGAGCCAAACTGAAGACATAGACCAGGGAGCAAGATCTCAAGTGCTCCTGAGAATAACAGGAATTAATAAGTGGCACGTTTCGGAGGGAAAATATGGAAGATTACACGGAGGTGGGAGAAACAAGGCGGGGATTGAATTACAGGAGCGTTAACACGATTATGTGCTTTCTCCAGGGTGGTTATGCTTGTTTCAAAGGTGTGTTAACCTAGATGCCCAGAAACAATGGACAGGGCTTGCTTAAGGCAAAGAAAAACCTCTTACAAAAAATTACACGCCTGGGGTGTGACTGCCTACCACGACCTGCCCAGTTAGGAATTTATGATCAGATCACCGTGAGGTTACTTTCCCTAGAACCCCTTTTCTCATCCACAAAGTTGAATTTGTTTTTCACCTTTTCATCTGTCTTATATCAATATAATTAGTAGACTAGCCAAGGAACCTAGAAGGGAAGGAGAGAAATTTTTTCTGCCCCTACAGTCGACATGGACTCAGGCAAACTGGCTGTTCTCTCGACGCAGCCCCTTTTAGAACCCCCATTAGACTACACTGTGTGGGCAGGAGATTGTGCCCTGTTGGAATGCGGGGTGGAGCTAAGGAAAATTGCTTGGTCACAGTGAGTGGACACGCTCACCAGGCGTGCCCTTCTGACCTGAGGCTAATGTGAAAGGCCAGCTGAGAGGTTTGGGGACAGGCAGGGCCCACCTTGCTCCAGGCCCTTGCTGGTGGGTCCCTCTGTCCTGTGTGGTAATATCTGGAGGGGTGTGTGCACTGCTGAGTTGCCTGGTCATTTAAAATGGGCTGGGTTGTGAAATCTGAGATGGTTTGGCCCAGTGCCAGTTGGCCTCTTTGTTGTGATCAAAGTTGGCCCTTGTGGCGGTGACTTCTCTTTTCCTGTGAGTGAGGATCGCCAATGTAGCAAGTTTCTTAAGGAATGTAAGTAAACACCGAGTCCCAACAGCAACAGAAACTGAGATCAATTAATGTCCCTAATTTACAGGACCATCGTTCCGGACTTCTTTGTAGGGCAAGAGCCATGGAACCCCTCTGGGGACTGGTCCACCTTTCCAGAGTGGTTGAAAACAAGAAATGCCAGAAAGATCGATAAGTAAGTTATTGGCAGGTGTGGCTGTGTTTGTGGTATCCCCCAGGGCACCAAGGAGAGCTGAGTCCTGAGGGAGAGGTGGTTCTGGCATCACTGTTCAGACATCTAGCCTTCCTCCAAGTAGGACTTGGATGGCCATGACCCTGGAATTAAGTATATTGCTTCTAGTTGAAAATGTCTTCTGAGTTGTTCCAAATAACCAATTTGCAAATGAACCGTTTACAAGGCAGGGGCCACTGTGCTTGATCTCTTCATGGCTTAAATAGTCCTGGTGGCTTTCCAAATCTTGCTCTGCTCTTTGAGGATAGGAAGAGACAGGCAGTGCAGAGTGGGGTGTCAGGCAGGGGGAATGAATGTGCCAAGCAGAGAGTTTGGGGAGCTGCCCAGTTTCCACTGGTGCCCATCAAGAGGAGAGAGGAGACTGGGGTGCTGGGCAGGGGCAGATCTTCTGGTCAGGTCTTAGAGCCATGCTGTGGCCTTTGGCCTTTACGCCGAGGCTGGGGAAGGCTGTCGCTCAGCTTTTGCTGGGAAGCAAGCTGGTCGGATTTGCTGATCTTTGGGAAGGAGCCCGCCTGCAGCCCTGTCAGGTGGTTGGAGGCGCTGGGCTTGGCAGGGGGACTTGCCAGGAGAGGCATCACTCATCAGTTGGGCAGGAGGCAGTGAGGATGGCGGAGCTCGGAAAGTAAGAATCTCAGAACCTCAAGGAACAGCTGCTGATAAAACCCTGTTACCTGCCCAGTGCCCTTCCCGGGGCCTCACAAAATACCTCTTGATTCTTGAATAACTATTCTTTCTGTTCCAGAGAGGTTGATGCCGTCTTGAGGTATCTGAAACAACAGTGTCACGCCCAGAAAATTGGTGTCGTGGGATTCTGCTGGGGAGGAGTTGCTGTCCATCATGTGATGATGAAATACCCAGAATTCAGGGCAGGGGTGTCCGTCTACGGTAAATCTGCCTTGCACAGACTTACACGGTGAAAGCAGGAGGATTCGTGGGTGACCATACCATGAGCCTCTTCCCAAGCGAAGGGTCCCAGGTGTAACACAACACAGTCGTCATGAAATTGGCTTTAAAAAATCTGGAAGTCGAGGTGAAGGCTTGTACTGCAGTAACCAGAGGATGTCACTGGGAGTGGGGAGACCTGGGTCCCAACAGTGTTGCTTTGGGAAAGTCACCTAACCTGACGTCTCAGTTTCTCCACTTAGGATGAAGGGGATAACATTTACTTCTGTGACAATGGATAATACTAAGCAATATTGTCATGAGGAATATCTTAGAAAAGATTTTTCCAAGATAAAAATTATTCTCAACTGCACACACGTGTGTGTACACACACACACACATACACACACACACTCTAAAGAAGAAAAGGAAAACCCACTCTAAAATGTAAATAGCAACATGAACGTGTCAGCCCAAACAAACCAAAGGTGTCGCAGCACTGAGAATAGCACATGTAGAAATGGCATACTAAGTTCACGAAATAGAAGCAGTTAGACCATAAAAAATAGTTTTAAAAAAAGGAAATTTGACCACCTTTCATAATATATATCATACAGTTATACTAATGATGCTTATTTGGCTTAATAGTTCCTCACTGTGGTATTTTCACTTACTTTTAGCATTAAAAAATTCCCTTTAAGTATTTACTTAAATGAAAGGAATACATTTCCAGTTGTCACTGGGGTTGCTAGAACTTGCAGTCCCTTTGTGTGAATTAGCAAAAGGTGCTCCTGCAGGGACGGCTCTCTGGCACCCCCTTGTGGCCGCTGTTGCACAGTGCATGGGTTGTGGCGCATGGCAGGACTAAGAGGCCTGGGGACATCAAATACCTGAACAGCCATGCGGTGAGGCAGGGAGCCTCCGTGCCCATCTTTCCTGTGGCTCTCTGACTCCTAGAGAGGACGTATAGGTGAGGGGAGGCTCTCTAGGTTACTCAGGTTTGCTGTGCTGCCAACAGGAAATGGGGGGAGAAGCCATCCATTATGCAGCACATGTGTGGCTGGAAATCATACCCCGTGTCCCTGTTCCCACCCTGCAGGCATCATCAAGGATTCTGAAGACGTGCACAGTTTGAAGAACCCCACGTTGTTCATTTTTGCAGAAAACGATGCTGTGATCCCTCTTGAACAAGTAAGTTGGCATCTTTCCTCTTCGCACTTTTATATTTAACAACACGATTTGACATTTTGGGGAAAACATACTAAAAGGATTCATTGGTTGTTCCAAATATTTTTCAACATTAAGGTTTTTTAAATTTGATTTTTTAATTTTTAACATTAAGTTTTCAAGTTGGGTTTCATTGGGGACTTAGGGATTGTAACCCCACCAAAGTGCTCTTGGAGTGTCCTGGTTACCAGGCATAGATGAAGCCCTGCCTCCCAACCCCACATGTGTAATCTGGTTGGTAAGGAAAATGCAGACGAAAACTGTGGTTCAAAAGCAGTCATTTAGAAATTATTGTTATTCATAAGCAATACTTTGTTAACATAAATTTCAAATAGTTTATACTTGAATAAATGGAATTTTATATTACAAATATTGAATATTACATATTATTTGTCATTGAATTGAATATGTATATTGAATATTACATATTATACAGTATTTGGATTATATAAGATGTATTAATACAATTTCAAAGAGTTGATGTTGTATCATTTTTATATTGCCCTGAATTCTCTCCTTTGCCAAAGGTAAGGACTGTGTTGGTTATAACATTAAAAGTAAAAAATTCATTATGGCCGTGGAACTCAATTTAAAGTATTGATGTTGAATCTCTTTTATGAGCATTCACAGGAGATTTAGTGATTGGAAAATACAACTAGAGGGTTAGAATCATTTCATCGTGAAAATCTTTGCACACCAGGTCTCCTTGCTGACCCAGAAGTTGAAAGAACACTGCAAAGTGGAATACCAAATTAAAACCTTCTCCGGGCAAACTCATGGGTTTGTGCATCGAAAGAGAGAAGATTGTTCACCTGAAGACAAGCCCTATATTGACGAGGCAAGAAGGAATTTACTCGAATGGCTAAACAAGTACATTTAGCAGTGGCCAGTGCCAACTTTTCTCAAGATAGGTTTTGTCCAGAAATTGGCTTTGAAATACTTAGATCTTTTGATTTAATTTCCATTTTGTATAAATCAAGGAATCCTGAAATTCATTATTTCATCTGAAACATAGATTCAGTAGGAAATGTTAATGTATTAGATAATTTACTTTTTAATATGTACCTAAATAAAAATTTAAAAAATAGGTTAGTACCTGAAGACTTGATGGAGTAATATCCTAACAGTAAAAACCTGGGGTTATTCTGGACCAGCTGATGTCTCAGGTGTGGCCTTTCTGGTCTTTAATGGAGGACATCTTTTAAAATGACTAATGTTGCAAAGCCATGAACACATGAATTGTAAACTTAGGTAGATTAAAAGCCCAATTTAATTAGACTGATATCTTTGTCTTAATGCAAATGAATTTCATGTTCACATATTGCACTGAGAGAGAGATTAAAATAGGGGGTCCATGGGCCTAAATTATATCAAGCTAATAAACTTTCTGAGTTTTTGAATTTGTGGCTTTTTCTAAAAGCTAATTAAAAAATGATGGGTTGGAGTTACCATCCAGCTGTCTCCTATGCATTTTTGGGTCCCAGGGGCTGCAGATGCATTAAAAATCGCTCATGCATTTAATCAGAATGAAAATGAAATCAAATAAAAAGTTCAGCTCCTGAGTAGCCCTGCCACACCTTGGCCGCTCCGCAGCCGTGTGTGGCCAGTGGGAACCATATTGGGCAGTGCTCACCTACACTAGAAGGTGCTTCGCACCCTCTAGCTGCTCCTGTTGACTTTCTGTTAATCCTGTGACCTCCCATGTAACAGCCCCGAGGTTGATCTTCCTCAGTCCCTGCCGAGAATTTGGTTACTTGGCAAACCAACCAAGCCTAGACCAGTGAGCTGGCCTTCCCACTGGACCCTCTCATGTCTGCAGACACCAGAAGGGCTGCTTAGTTTCCAGCCCACACAGGCCTGGGCCCTCAGAAGGCTCCCTCCGCTGGGTGGGAGAATGGGGAGGGGGCTTGCTTGGGTCCTGGGTGGAGGGTGGGGATTTCATCCCATGTGCCAGGGCCAACTTGGGGGGCTGTTCCTTGTCAGCCCTGGGGCTCCTATAGAAGATGGGGAGCAAGGAGCCCTGCAGCCTCAGGGAGCCACACGGACTCCTCTTTCATTGCTGGGTCGGGCTGCAGAGTCCCAGCTGGCTGAGGTTATTTTTTTGAGAGCAGCAGGAGTGACATTGGCCCCTCAGGAGACAGAGGGACAGGGAGCAGTGAGTGTCCTGACCCCAGGCTGGGGAATGGAGAGGAGGGATTCCAGAGCCATTAGAAGCAGTGAACTCGGTATCTGAGGCTGGCATAGATAACCCAGCACGGGGAATACTGGAAGAGAACTGTGGAGGAAAGTTTGGTTTTGGTTGACCCGGGAATATCAGTTTTTTTTGGGCTGCAGATAACTGGAAGCCTAACAGTATCCGACTAGTGGTGGCTAAGAGAGTAACATTGAAGTCTCTTCCACAACACCCCTAAATGGATCTAAGTGGCTCACGGCTTTCCTGATGTCAGAACATGGTCAGGAGCCTGCCATTCCAGGTACTCCTCAGCCTCGCAAGACACCAGCCCCAGCAGCAAGGCCAGGAAGGGCTCTTGTGTCTAGTTTTGTGGGGAAGAAACTCCCTGGAAATCCTCCGGCTGGTGACAGCACGTGTCATGAAAGAGGCCTGGAGTAACCATGGGTTAGTTGGGGGAGTCCATGGCCAGGACTGACTGGGTCCCAGGCTGGGTACAGTGAAGAAAGGGGAGCGTGGAGGTCTGGTGGGTGTGCAGCGGAGGCAGCCCGCCAGGTGTGGGCAGAACGTGGGAGGCAGAGTGGGCGTGAAGAGCTCAAGGTGTCCAGGGCCTACCATGTCAATTTTGGGCAGGCACCTAAATTGTTTTTCTCAACGTAGGATGAGGAAAATGGCTTACAGGGCTGTTGGGGGAAATGGTCTCATATGAGAAGTATCATCATCGTACTTTGACTTGGGTCGTGGTGAGGACTTCACATACCTTCAGAGAGGAGATGGAGGAGCCAGGGATGCATGAGGACAACTAGGACTTCCATGAAAATCACTGGAGGAGCTTCAAAAAGCAAAAAAAAGGTGGGGGGAGACAATCACTGAGGTAAGAGATCCGCCCCGCCCTGGGCCATGTGAAGATACATTGGATCTGCCAGCTCCTTTATCTTGGATGTCTAGCCTCCAGAACTGAGAGAAATGTTTATTAACCTTTCAGTCTGTGCCACTTAAAAAAAAGGTTTTTACTGACTTGAGAAAAAGGGAGAGAAACATCAATTGGCCGCCTCCTGCGTGCACCCTACTGGGGTTTGAGCCCACAACCCAACCCAGGCATTCTGGGCACGTGCCTGACCAGAAATCCAACCGGTTGTTACCTCCAGGTGCATGAGACCACGCTCAACCAACCGAGCCACATCAGCCAGGGATACCATTTTTGAAAAAAATGTCTGTTCCATACCCAAATCTGAGTGACCAGTTCATCATTCTTTGAAGTAAAAATGGTGTTCCACAAGGGGCTAGTTCAGCTGAGACAACCACCATACTTGTTGCACAAATCTTTAAATACTTACATCACAGAACACTAAAAAGGATGCACTCCAGGGCTGAGAACCACTTCAGGCAAGAGGCTCTGGTCCAAAGCAAGCTGCTCTATGCTCTTTGCGGGCTGGAATCAGTCCTTGTAAATCAACTCATCTGAACTACCGCTCACTTATTTAAGCAGAGCTTTATGTCTGACGGGAACCTACTCTTGGAAAAGATGCATCCTGATGTGCCACTCAAAATGTAGTAGCACAAATTATAATAGTGCAACTTCACAATCCATTGTATGATGAAATACTCAATTGTTTAGTTCCATAGACATTCTAAAATTATGAAGACTGATATTAGCACTTTTTCTGAAATCAACAATATAGTTTTAGCAAAACAACCAATGCACCAATGTAGAGAAAACACGATGACCCAATGGTTAAGAGTGGTCAATGTCCAGGTTCACAGAAGGTGACCCTGACACTTAAGTCAGGAAGAATCACTATTTCCTAATCTTAGGAAATGTGACAAGTCTTATCAGCAAATCCTCTACCCCTAGTGGCACATAAGTGAACTTTATCATCATGATTCTCTATAAGAAACATTGTTTTAGAAAATCTAGAGAACCATACAGAAGCAAAATAGCATAGGGGATGAGAGGAGAGCTCTCGAGTTAAGACTGCCTAGGTTTGATCTGGCTCTACAACTTACTGGCGAGGAGATGTCTAGCAAATGATCTAATCTTACCTGTAGGGTGTGAGTAATAAATTATCCTTCACAGGATGATGAGAATTGAGACAATTTAAGTCTTCAGAGAAAGACCTGGCCGTGGTAACAGCAGTCACTGCTGGCCAGTGTTATTTTAGTACAGAATTAATTCAATAGCAATCCACCCATTCATGGCAATTGCAAAGCATTTCCTCCCACTAGAGCCATTTCTCCCTTATTTTCTAGAATTCACTCTAACCTATGCTTATTCTATCCCTCTGATAAGAAAACCTCAATTGTATTCTGACTTGCCCTTCTAGGCATCTGTAGGTGCTGTAGGAGCCTGTGCCCACTCTGACCTTCTCCATACACAAGCTGGCTTGTGTTCAGGGTGGGCTAGGACCAGAATAAAGAGGGATTATGTGAAGATTTAACTTGCAACACTGGTTTCATTAGCACTGTAATAATATCCTAGGTTAAGTCAGTGTAATCTAATAGCACTTAAGACAGCCCAAAATTCTGTGGTAGAAACACTCACCTATGACAGGTCTCTAGAATCATAAGATCCACCCATTTAGACAGGCGCAGCACTTAAATACATTTAATAGGATCAAGCCCACACTCCTCTCAATGTTAAATCTCGAGAACAATCTCAATGTTTTAAGCTGTTAAAATAGTTCCTAGAGCTTATTAAAAAAATAAACTCTTTGAATGAAGACAGCATTTGATTACAGTGAATACTTATTTATCTTAAAAAGCAAAAGATAAAGGTGGTTTTTAAAGAGATCTCTTTAATATAATGAATACAAAAGCTTGTGAGACATTGTTCCTACTGCAATTTTATGTCTTTGAACAAGTGAAACTATGGTTACCAAACAACTATTTTTATTATAGCATCTATAGTGTCTGAAAAAGAACATAATAATAAATAACTGTAGATGTATCATAAGACACCCTTTTATTTAATCACAATAGTGGTTCTTACTACTACATTTTACTCTAAATTTTTTCTTTATTCTTCAGATTCTCCAGGCTTACGGATATCATCAATCTTCAAAATCATTCTAACCATCTGTGTTGCAAGAGAGATTTGTTGCTTTTTGCCAATCAAGGTTTCTATGACATGTTGTTGCTTCATATCTGAAAAATACAAATAAATTATCCTAAAATACCATACACTTAATATTGAAAACTTCTGATTAATGAAATCAAACTAAAACATAGGAATTACAAATTTGGAAGCCAGTTAACTTTATTCTGAGGAATAAATGTCATTACTGCCAAGGACACTCTGGAATTTGAACCTGGTATAACCAGAAAGCTGGGGGAGGGGTGGGCACAGGGGGCACCTCTCTTCAGTTATAATCTAAAACGCTAGGCAACTAACTAAAAGGTGAGCCCTGTCGCCCAGCTGGCATGGCTTAGTGGATGAGCATCGGCCCATGAACCAGGAGGTCAAGGTCTGATTCTTGGTCAGGGCCACATGCCCGGGGTTTCAGGCTTGACCCCCAGTAGGGGGCGTGCAGGAGGCAGCTGATGGATGATTCTCTCTCATCACTGATGTTTCTATCTATTTCTTCCTCTCCCTTTCCCTCTCTGAAATCAATAAAAACTTAGTTAAAAAAACAACGGTGAGGCCTTTCAGTGACATCTCGCCTCACAAAATATCTAATACCATGTAATTTAGTAAACAAGAAATAAGTGGAATCTGACTGTACTCGAAGTGTAAGATAATTCCAAGAAAGGCCTAAAAATGGTAAATTTAAGTACAACCAGGAATTCAAATTTAAAAAAATTTATATATCTGAAAAAGAATTGTTGCCGTTGTAACATCCTTGGGCTTTGACACGAAGAGCAGAACATATCTAAACTTCTAAGTAAAAACAAACTGTCCGTCAGGACTGACTGTAAAACTGCAGATACAGCAGAAGCAGTACAGAAACCACTGGGACTACTGTTTCAAATGCTTTACTACCTTTTCAGCAAGGGAACTAACTGTTCACGTGGCCGTGGTGGTTACAGTACATCACATTTATAAAACACACCATAACTTATGGGATACAAGCACAGAATAAGCTGTGAATTAAGTCAGTTTCAGGGCTACTTTATGAGAGACGCAGAACCAAAGCACTTTGACAGACGTTTGTGTAAAAAAGGGAAGACAAGAATTATTTTCTAAAACCAAAGATGAAAATGGAAGCCATCTTTGGTGTGAATACCACACTACAGTTGAAATGAAATCAAAGATCTGAAATTCAGGACGTGAATACCTTCAGTGTGTTTAAGTATTTAAAAAGATATGATAACCTCACAATAAGCATTACCTACTATATAGCCAAGCACGGTGTAATTACTCAATTTAAATTAAACCAAGCCCCACACGCAGTCATGACAGCTCCTCACCATTTGTACCCTTGTGCATGCAGTCAATCCCAAGAGCAGGGTTCATTTCCTTCACTTGTCTGGCTCGGACCTCGGACATCGTCTGAATGGGATTCATGCCACTGTTCTCGGCAAGGGCCATGGGGATGACCTCCAGGGCATCGGCAAATGCTCGCATGGCATACTGCTCCAAGGTTGGGCACTGCAGGGTACAGGGAAATGGTAAATGTGCTTGGCAAAAACATCCCCAGGAGCAATTTAGAAACAATTAAATTACATACTTTAAAAAGCAAACAAACTAACTCACGAGGAATTCTAAGCACAGGCTATCTTGATTATTTTCAATCTGCCAGAATATTAAATGTCACAGCAAAATAAGGATGGAGAAGGCATACATGTGAGAGAAGTCTGAGAACTGGCTCTTACCGATCTGTTTGTATTGATATTTAATTTTGAATTTCAAATAACATTAAATGTAGAGATCTACATAAAATAATAATTTGCAAGGCTGGAATGACTGAATGAAGCTGAGAAATGCTAGCTTATGGTAACCTGAATCTGACTACATGGGCATGAGAATCAATTCAGATCGAACACCTGTTAAACTCCGATGTTTTTGTTCACTTTGAGTCTAGCACCCTGTTGATTCTAAGCACTGCTGCCTCACATGCCAGAGCTGTCTTAGTCTTTCGTGAGTCCCCATGAGCATTTTACCTTATCTGCTGCTTGGCTAACTGCCAAAGCACAAGCAATTTCAGCAGCACCTCCACCATACACCACACGATTATCACGGATGAGGTTCCGGATGACACACAAAGCATCGTGAAGGGATCGTTTTGCTTCCTCGATGATCTAGGGAAACAGTTCTGCCTAAATTAATGTGATCATGATTTATTCATTTTAGAACCAAATACCTGGCACCTCTGGTTTAATCTAAGTGTTTGCTGAAAATATTCCTAACTCCCCCATTAAAACCAGCTTGGTAAAAACAAATGAAGAGAGCCTGCCAGAATATCTGTTATCAGGTGGCTTCTATCTTTACCTCTTTTCCCTATAATGTAGTAAAAAAACATGCAACAGGCAGCCAGTGACTCATTCCAGTACACACAACCAGGCAAAGGGGTCAAAAAAACCCCAAAACTGACACAGAAACCTCACAATGAATCATTTATTACAATGCACTAAAAATTCACTCTAGGAAAATGGAGAGATTGTCAATGTTTACTTGGGTTCCCTATTTCTACCTAAGGGACTGAAGAAAAGCAAATGTGCCTTGTGGAACTGACAACGGAACATGGTCTTCGGTAATTTTATACCATAATGCCATTGTTTCTTTGAGAAAAATGATCCTGTTTTACTTACGGTAACTGTGTCTCCATTAATATGTTATGGACAAAGCCAAACCATGTACCAAAACTGGAAAAAAATGTAGGACAAAAAACTGAACTCTCACCATCTTATTTCCTCCTCTGATGAAAATGGTTACAGCTCTGGAGTTCTTACACTGCTCGATGACCAGCATCTTGTCTTTAGTTGTCCCAAATGAGATCTCTTTTACAATCCCAGCAAAGCCGAGCTTCTTAGCTGTGAGCTCTGAGAAGCGCGGGACGATCCGCCCTCCTGTCGCAATGGCAATCAACTAATTGGGGTGGGTCAGGCAGAGAAGAAAGACAATGCTGGTCAACAATGAATGTTCATAATTGGATCACAATGAGCTGAACTTGATCCATGACCACCTTTTTACTAGAATAGCTGCCCCATTCTGGCTAAAAAATTCAAGTTCAACCCCAAAATCCTTGATAAATGAACAGGTTCTTAAAAGCTCAATGTCTTGGTCTAGCTCTGTCACCCTGCACATGTTCCCATAGTTCTTGACCTCATCTCCTGAGCGTGCCACTGAATCGGAGCCCTGCACAGCTGTCCCTCTGCAAAATGGGATATAGTGAGGACCAATGAAGCTGTGTGGGTCCAGGTACAGACCATGTCTAGGATGGCTATTAAGTATTTGGCTGACACAGAAGTGGGTAAGACCACATTTGAGAGCTCAGGAGAGGCCAAATGAGATGACACATGGAAACCATATGCTATAGAACACTGGAAACAGATGGCAGCATTAGTAAAACAATAAAAAATATCCTAGCACTTTTCTCTCTCCCAGCTCATCCTCCTCTAACCTATAAAGCCTTAGCATGACCTGGTAATTTAAGACAAGCGTTATCAAAGCAGCCCCATGATACATAAATGCATTGTTAAGCCCCGCCGCTGTTTAGAAGTCTCTTTCCATAGAGCTTCCTACCTCGATTTCAGGTCCTCCTACCCAACGAACTGCAGGCAAGTTGTTCTGAAGTAGTAAATGATTTGCTTCATCATCAAAGCCCCACTGGCAAATAGCTAGGTTAGCTCCAGTTTCTTTAATCTGGGAAAAGAAATGCCACAATCATGTTAAGAAAAAGTATTCTTTGTGCTCTAATGTTTAAAAAAAGGTGAGATGCATGCAAGATGGGTGCACTGAAATAAAGCACAGAAAAGGAAATAGACAACTGTCTACTTTCTGTCAACTCCATATTCTAAATAATGAACACATATCAATGGGAATCACCTTACTTTTAAACTATGCTTTAAAAATCAGTAATTCATACTGAACTCAATTGTTATAGTGAAGAAAAACTAGAGAGTCAACAAAACTAAGCATTTTGTTAGCTCTCAGGAAATCAAGGTAAACAGCTCTGTCCTGTCACAAATGTCTATGAAGCAGTTTCATTCACTCATGTGTGTTTCAACAAAACATTTTATGACATACACTGCTCTGCAACTTGCTTTTCTCACCTACATGGGATATCCTCTATGGATCTATGGATACAGACTTATTTAGAGACCAATAAAGATGATCCTGCTTCTAACAAACACCCCCTACTCTTTGCAAATGCCTCATGACGCGTCCCAAGGTGGCAATGATTATAGTTGACTGTCCATCCTTCCCTTGATGATCACCTGTGATACATGTGCTACAGCTGCCATTTCACTTCTGTCCTCACCCAAGACTCCCAGGTCACCTACCACGCCTGGCTTCCTACCTCTCCTTCCTTCCCCAACTCTCTGGAACTAAGTCCATCAACAGAAAACTCCTTGCAGTGTTTCCATTACATTCTTGCTGTAAAACAAACCTTGGCTCTCCCTTGCCCTTCTACTCAAATGGCTGTTTTTTCTTCCATGTGCTAAAAATAGGAGAGGGGTCCTTCTTGCTCCTCACAGCCACCCCTTATGTTTCTTGAGCCACTCCCTCTCATTCTTTAAAATGGTAGCACCTAGCCCCCTCACTATTCCCATTATCATTCCTGACAACCGCACATCTAACAACGCAATCTATCCAACTCCCTTGACCTCTCAGTTCCCATGCTTTTCCTCCACTGCATCTTGGCCAGCATTCCCATGGCCACCCAGGTAACAGGCCTTTATTTACAAACTCCTGCCAGCATGCTCCAACTCCTCAGTCCTAATGTTCTTTGCACATGCCAACCTCATTCCTGCCACAGGACCTTTATACATGCTGTCCACGCCCCACCACCTCAGCCTGGAAAACTCCTCACCCAGATAAACTGCTCTCACTTCAGTTAGGTTTCTGTCCACACATTACCTCCTTAGAGGCCCTCTCTGACCACTGTCTGTAACAGAACCCCTCCCACTTTTCCCTGATTCTGCACTGGAACAGCAAGAGCTCTGCTTTGTTCCTTGCTGTATCTCAGTGCCTCATATAAAGTAGGTACAGTAAAGGACTAAATGAATTCAATACCCCTCAAAAAACAGACCTCTAGTTTTTGCTTGCTATGATAATGTCCATGTTCACGTATCTTTGAGTTCTGCTGCTTTAAGTTCCCAAGGACAGGGTGCCAAAGAAGATCCGCTATGCCACAGAGCACGTACATGTAAAGTAGTTAACAGCCAGAGGAGAAAGAGAGTAGGTCTTTATAAAATAATACTCTGATTTGTATAAGCAAAGAGATGGGATTTCTATGATTGCATTTGGGTTTAATTCCAGGTATCCAGTAACTCCTTTAATAATATTTAGAGGTCTCAAATATGTGGTAAGCCATATTAAAATTGTCCAAACCTTAAACTTACTAGTTTAGATATGTTCAGGAGAGCAAGTATGTAAAATCAAAAGCACAGCTCAAGAGCCCATTCTTGCAGGCATCCTAGACACATGACCATTTTAAGCCAAAAATCAAGTGAAGCAAACAAGCCTATGCTGGTTACATGTTATAGCCATGTGATGAAATATCGAGATAGTACAGGTCAGTGCCACATACATTTACTACCTACAGCTGCCTAACTGCTTCCTTCAGGAGCAGAAATGTCACTAAGTGCTATGGGAAGACCTACTTGCTGAATCATCTCTTCAAACTTCTCCTTCTCGTATTTCTGAAGGGCTTTATAGTCTTCTACAGAGGTGACGTCCAGCTTATGCTTTGTCTTTGGTTTCGGTGGTTCAAATGGACATGTGAGAATTGCAATCTTGGCATTTTCTACTTCCTGTGGGGAAGGATAGGAACATCTGAGTTGGTGGCTTTAAGAGTTAAAAAAGCATGAAACTGTGAAAGGCAATGACTTACTTTTGGCATCTGTGGGTGACTGAAATCCTTGTCCACAATCACGCCCTTAATAAGTTTAGTGTCCTCCAACCTCCCACCCACTTTGCCTTCTACTTTGATGAGCTCAAAGTCAACGTCTCTGCGCTGCATATCGGCCACAGTGAGAACAGCATTCACAGCAATCTCAGCCATTTGTCGGTGACAGCTGTTAACCCTGATGAAAATATGCCAAATAAACCACTCAGTTTGTTCCACTGAACAGTTATTGAAACCCAAGTAAACCATATAATGTGATATGGTAACTCAAATACAAGTTAACATATCATAACTCAAAGATATTTTATAAAACTAATGATGTTCAGAGTCTTACAAATGAATGGCATCACAACCCGTTCTTTCAAACAGTGTGGGACAGGGATTCAAAGGCAACCAGGAACTTGGATGGAAAAAAATTTACATCTTTATTTCCACTAACTCTAAAATTTAGTATTTCCTTCCATTAGAATGTACACAAGAGACTACTGAAGTATGGCAAGAACAAAGGTTTTTCCAAGACTCTGCTACTTTTTAAGAATACTATTAATATTTTACAAGTCCAAAACAGAATCAGAAAGATAAGAAATCATCCAGGAAAAACCAACCTTATCTAAATGAGGTGTAGCACTTACTGAGAAGTGAGTTGGTGTGGTGTCGTACCTTGCAGAACTTTCCACTGCAATACTGGTTACAGGTGGGAGATACCTTTTTTGAAAGCTTTGAAACATGTGAATAGACTACTCAATAAATTCACTTTTAATTCTGGAAGAACCACAAGGGAAATCTAGTACTCGAAATGGTGTCTGAAATCTTACATCATTTAGAAAGATAATCATGAAACTAAAAATGTTATGCCTGGCTGGTGTAGCTCAGTGGTTGAGTGTCAACCCATGAAACAAGAGGTCGCTGATTCTAGTCCTGGTCAGGGCACATGCCCTGGTTTTGGGTTCAATCCCCTGTAGGGGGGCGTGCAGGAGGCAGCTGATCAATGATGTTTCTATCTCTCTATCCCTCTCCTTTCCCCTCTCTCTAAAAATCAATAAACACATATTTTGAAATAAAGTTGTTAGTATCCTAAGTAGGTGATTTACAATACTTTGCTTTACGTTGAATATGTCCACACCTGCATTAACAACAAAACCAAACCAAAATAACAAAAACAGAAAAAACTCATCAAATCAATATGAAGACACTGAGGTCATTTCCTGTTGCATTTAGGAACAGGCAAACAAACTTTGCAACCTATAACATGAGAACATACACTTTGGAGCCCAGCGTGGTTTTAGCAGTCTGAATCAGGGGCTCAGTGTCCTTTACGTCAACAAGGACACTATCGCTGATCTTGTCCAGGAACTCGATAGCAATGCGGGCGGCTTGCTCATAGCCGTCGGCGATCCTGATCGGGTGAATGCCACGATCCAGCAGCTGCTCGGCTTCTTCCAACAAGGCCCCAGCCAGGACTGCAGACAAGACAGTGACAACAGGTTCAGGAAACATTAAAACTTTGCCCTGGAACTCTGAAGGTTCCAGAATTAAGCTGGAAGTAACTTAGAGGTTGAGACCATCTAATCTATGTTAAAAAAGAGAGCCTCTTGTTTCAGTTCTAGCAAAGGTCTAATAGGTCTCCCATTATAGATGGATGTTCAACTGTCAGTGATGTAAAGAATGTAATTAAAGAATATAATGTGGAAACACTTTTATAAGGGGAAAAACTCCTATGTTTCCTAGGCCAGGGATTTCTATTCCATGAAATTCATGCTCATGATAAAAATTTATTACTTAACCTCCGCTCCCACCTCCCTTTAGTGTCACAAAGAAGAGTTTTATCTGTTTTAATACTGCCACACTCCAAGCATATCTAGAACGCTGTTTGGTACCCAATTAAGATTTTTGAATAAATGAATTAAAATACTGCCTGCAGAAAAAGTAACATTAAAAATATTTATCTCTCTAATCTTCCCTAACTTTTTAACATTTCAGAAAAAATGTGAGAACAGTAAAATGAACACTACTTATTAATAACATCTTGTCACACACATTTGTTTTCTCTGTATATGCACTTTTTTCCTGTTCAATTCTGAGAACTGTTGCAGAAATCATGGTATGTCACCCCTAAATATGTGAACAAACAGCTCCTAAGAACCAGGGCATTTTCTACATCAATGCAATTTGTTACTCAGGAAACTTAACACTGAAAAAAATACTATGTATGTTGTTATACACAACCCACAACCAAATCCCCCTATATGTCCCAAACACCCGTCATGGCTTAAATAAAATCTGGCATCTGATCAAGTTTTACGCATTATAGCTGGTTGTAATTTCTCTTTAGCTCCATTAATCTAACTACCTCCCTCATCTTGTTCTTTTATGATACTGAGTTTTGAAGGGTCTGAGCCACTTGTTTTGTAGGGTGTCCTTCAAATCTGATGATCAACTTGGATTTGTCTATCTTCTAGTAATTTGATTCAAAGAAAACACTCTGGGTAGGCATGTTAGACCTGTGATTCTAAATAACACCTTGTGAGAAAAGATATTTTGCCCTTTCTTACCAACCACTCCTGTGGTTCCATCTCCAATTTCATCATCCTGTGATTTGGCTAGTTCAACCATCAACTTGGCAATCTGATGATCAACATCCATCATGCTCAAAATGGTGGCACCATCATTAGTTACAGTCACATCACCATCCTTATCAACCATCATTTTATCAAGTCCTAAAAAGACAACAATGCTTAGAATAGCTTTGAGGGGGGGGCGGAAAAAAACAGCCTATACCAAAATCTATAGAGAAAAAGTCTTGACCCAGGTCCTATCTAGGAATTTATCATAAATATTCAATATACACAAAGACATTTTAGATAGGCTAATACAAAGTAAAACATTGCAAATAATCTAAAATGGCTAAAACCAGAGAAATGTCAGAAAATTATGGAGTATCACTAAATGTAGTATCACAAAAGATGACTGACTGCTCTGATTTCACAGGCATCTGGAGGCTGCAAGACCATGGACTCCAGTACCTATGGTTAGAGTCCCACACACTGTGCAGCAGAGACCAAAGGCCCACACCTGCACTTTTCTCCTCATTCTTTTTTAAAAAGAAAGCTTTTGTTTTACCTTGAAAACGCTAAGATGAGACATTCCAAAATGAAATATAAGACAGTGCTGAAAGATGAGACTTCCAAGTCCTCAAACAGTTAATAGGAACATGGTACGTTAAGAAGCATAAGCCAAAGTAAACAGGAATTGTAAAGCAAGAAACGGAATGTCTCACCACTGCAGTGCTCGGGGTTAGCAAGCTAGACTGGACTGGACTGGGGCATTTCCAGCAGTGTTCTGCTCTGGAAATGACAAGCTCAGAAGAAACAAAGTGGCTTTAATACTGAGGCAAGATGTAACACAGGCAATTAGGGGTTACTTCCTGAGGTCTGACCAATAACATCAATCAGACTCCTAGGAAAACCTATGAACACAACCATTATTCAAGTCTACACTCCAATTACAGAGGCTAAAGATGAAATTAAAAGCTTTTATGCAAATATTCAAGAAATTGATCACACATCAAAACAAGACATGCTGATAATTATAGGTAACTAGAACACAGAAGTAGGAAATAAAACAGAATCAAATGCTGTTGGAAAATTTCTATCTAGGGGTCAGAAATGAAGCAGGAGATTGACTTGTGGATTTCTGTGAAGCCAAAGCTTATCTATCGCAAGCACATGGTTCAAACAACTGAACAGGTGACTGTACACATGGACATCACAGATGATCAACAGGGAAATGAAACAGACTATGTAATTGGAAACAGGAGATGGAGAAGCTGTATCCCCTCTGCTAAAACAAGACCAGAGAAGACTGTCCATGAACTGATAATGACCATGAATTGTTAATATCAAACATCAGGGTAAAGCTGAAGAGCACTAAAAGACCTGCACAGCCAAAAATATAATGCAAATAACATTCACTATGGATTTAAAGTGCCATAAAGAACAGATCTGCATTGTTAAACTTAACTGATCGAGGGTCAGAATTGTGAATTGCAACTAGAGATATTATTAGGGACGAGTGTGAAGCGACAATGCTGGAAGTAAAAAAGGAAAAAAACACCTTGAGATGGATGACAGAAAAACCCCCTGTATTTGTTAAGAGACAGGAGAGAGGCAAAAGGTGACAAAAGCAGGGTTAGAATTCTGAATGCAGTTTTTCAATGACTGTCATATAGATATAAAGAAAACTACTGTAACAGTCAATGTAGCAAGGAAATAGAAGAAAAAAGTAAAAACGAGATCTCTACCAGACAATTCAAGAAATAAGAGAGAAATTCAAATCCTGATTAGGAATGCTGCATTACCAACACAGAAACATATTATCTGACCAGGAGAAAATAATGAAAAGGTGGAAGCAGTCTACTGAAAATCTATACAGAAGAGAAAGAAGGATGAAAGATACTTCTAAAGAAGGTTCCTATGAGAAAGAACATGTAATTCTAGAAAGCAAAGTGAACGCTGCCCTGAACGTGTTGGGAAGAAATAAATCACCAGGGGTAGATGGGATACCGATAGATTTATTTCAAGCCAGAGACTGCATCTGTCAAAATCCTAATAAAATATCAGCATGGAAAACAAAACAATAGCCTATAGACTGGAAACATTCAATATACATCTCAGTCTTCAACAAAGGTGATGCCCACTAGTGCACTAACTACAGGACCATTGTTCTAATTTCCCACACAAGTGAAGTCTTGCTCAAGGTGATGCAGCAAAGGCTTCTACCCCGCATGGAGCAAGAAATGCTGGATGTTCAAGCTGGATTCAGAAAAAAGGCACTTGAGATTTAATTGTGAGTTGAATATTGGGAGTGCTCCAAAGAATTTCAGAAGGTTAGTCTACATTTTATAGACTACAGTAAAGACTTTGTGTGGATCATGAAAAGCTACGTACGAGTTGCTCTGAAAGAAGCAGGCATGCCTCAGCAATTGATTATCCTGATGCATAACCTGCACTGTGAAAAGGAAGTGGTTGTCAGGACAGAATATGGAAAGACAGAAGGTTTCCTATGGGCAAAGGTGTCAGACAAGGGTGCATTTTATCTCCCTATTTGTTTAATCTGCACACAGAACTGGGCTAGATTCAGAGGGAGAAGGAGTGAAAATTTGTATTAAGATTTATTAACTTAAGATATGCAGAAGATACCATCTTATTGGCAGAAAGTAGCAATAACTTGAAGACTTCTGATGAAAGTAAAAGAAGAAAGTGCCAAAGTAGGGCTGCATCTGAACACCGAGACGACAAAAATCATGACCAGAGAAGAAACGCACAACTTTAACATAGACAATGCTTTTAAATGGGAGAAATGAAGAAATCAGGAAAAAGCTGAGACTAGAAGGGTAGCAATGGAAGAATTAGGAAAGATTGTCAAGAGCAAAGATGTGTCTTTAGAGACTAAAGTTAAGATCATTTACATTCTCGCGTTCCTAATTACTATGCACAGATGTGAAAGGTGAAAGTTGCAAGTTGGACAGTGAAGAAGGCTGATAAGAAAAAAATGGAATAATCTGAAATGTGGTGTTGAAAAGCTGTATGGATACCTTGGACAGCCAGAAAGATGAACCAAGTGAGTCCTTAAGCAAATTAAGCTTGAAATGTATCACTGGAGGTAAAAATGGCAAAGCTGCAGCTGTCCTACTTTGGGCACATCACCAGAAAGCAGATTTCTTTGGAAAAGGCAATAATGCTGGGTAAAATAGAAGGCAGAAGGAAAAAAGGAAGACTGAACATGAGATGGACTGACTCCATAAAAGAAGCCATAGGCATGAATCTACAGGAGCCGAGCAGGGCAGGTGAGGACAGGACGTTGTGGACATCACTCTACTCACAGTGTCACCAGGAGTCAGAGCTGACTCAACAGCATGTAACATACACACATGATCTGGAAAATGCTAATGAAATGGTGTTACATGGAAAAAAAATAAAAATCTGACCTAAGATTGCACACATGTTATACTATAACTGTGTTTAGAGTATGCAATACACCAAAAGTTTGGCTCTATTAGGGGAGTAGGAAGGCCCCCTTCCATTCCCCTATTCTGTAAAGGAGTTTTACTGTTTAGTTTCTAATTTAAAACTTTTGTTAAAAAACTCAATGTTAGCCTCTTACCATTTGGTCCAAGTGATGTTCTCATTGTATTTGCTACAGCTTTTGCTGCCATTATGTGAGACTAAATGAAACAGAAAAAAAGCAAATATATTCAAGTTACATATAATTTTAATAGTTCAAAGCATACAGCTGCACTTTGCAATGCTAACTTCATGTGAGTCCAGCTGTAAACATACAGTACCTTGAATGATCACACATGGTTTATTGCAGAAATATACTCTTCTCTCAAATGGCCCAGCCAATACACAACCCATACACAAAGAGTCATCCTTGCATGTCTCCTGCCAAGGTTTTCAGTACTGAAAACAATGGAAGCTTGAAATCATCCGTTCCTATTTCCACACATATAACTAGATCCACTTTTCCTCCATGTTGTTTCCTTTCTATTCTTGCTGTCACAACCTAACCCAGAAATCCAGGGTCTCTTATCTCACCTCCTATCCTTCAGATTCATCCTACATCCACCTAAGCCATCCATTTCTGTCGCTTATCAGTCCCCAAACCTTAAACGCTCCTGCCCCATGCTTCAACATGTAAGTCTAAAAGCTTCAGCTTTTCCAAAGCTCTCCACAATGTGAGACCTAGTTCCCTTCCAGTGAGGATGGTCTATGCCTGTTTCCCAAACATGTCCTCTGACTCCTGGACTACTGGGACACAAAAGGCCCTTTCACTACCCACCAAAATCCTGACCAACTTTTAAAGCAGTTCAAATGCACATGTTCTGTGAGGCCTTCTTTCCCTGGTCACCCCATCTGGCAGGTAACCAAACACAAAGTTCATTAGATCTGTGAAAATGCTGTAATCCTTAAAATATACTTTGATATGTCTGTATAATGGAATTTTTAAAGGATAATAATAATAGGGAGGTAGTTCCTAATGCAGGGGAGATTTTGTCCCCCAGGAGACATTTGGCAATATCGGAGACATTTTTGGTTGTCAAAACTGGGGAGGGGGCTATTACTGGCAGTGGGTAGAGAGAAGTCAGCCAGGGATGCTGCTAAACACCCCACACAAGCCAGCTCCCACCACAAAGAATAATCTGGCCCCAAATACAGTGCCAGGGCTGAGAACCCAGGTCTATACCACTGGTTCTGGAGCAGGACAAAGGTGGGCTTCAACTATGGCCTGGTTCTTCACTAGCTCTGTGATCTTAAGCAATTACATCACTGCTCTGGGCCAAGTTTCCAATTCTGTAAAATAATACCTGCCTCAGAGCATGAGGATTACATGAAATAACGCACATAGTTAACACAGTGGCCGATGCAAAACTACCTGCAGATTCTATTGTACTGTTTTACTGGGTGTGTGTGTTGAATGTTACTTTCTCTGCTAGCCGCTTTTAGAGTGTAGTCACTCCTTAGGTTACCCCACTTAATTCTCATTCTCAGCTTGACAGAAGTATATTAACTCCACTGAGAAGAGGTTCCGAGAGGTTGTGTAAGTTGTCTTAAGTCAAACAGTCTGTGGAAGAACTATACTGTTTCTTAATTTAAGTAAAACTGCAAGACATTAAGTGAACAGGGACACTCTGACCTGGTGGGAAGGTCTACGCATATTTAATGTCGTGGATTACTTCACTTTATAAGAAACTCTAAAGTCAGTGCCCTCTCAAAGCTTCCCTTCCTCTGTACTTTCAATGTCTGTGCTCAGATGACCCATCCTTACGTGGACTCCTGCAATAGTGTATTTGACTCCCGTGGTCTTCCTTGTTCCCTTCAGTCCAGCCCAAACTCTACTTCCTAAGGCAGAGTTCTACTTACGTTGTGACTCTGCTCAAAACCCCTTCCTTCCCACGGGATAACATCTTGACTGTGGGGCATTCAAGGGCCTGCATCTTTGGAAACTAGTGTAACTTGAGTAGACTGTGCTCCCCGAAAACCAGGGTGCGTCTCCCCCAAGGTGCCATGCCATTTCCTGCCCAGGTCTTTGCTTTTACTGCTTCCCTTTTCCAGAATGCTGCTCTCCCAACCAAAACAGGACCCCATTCCTCTTCAAAAGCCACCTGTATCAAATATCTGAAGGACACCCTCCAACTTTTATCTGCATCCCCTCCAGTAAGTGCTGATTCTGGTCACACACCACCTTGTATTTTGGCTCCCGGTGTTCATGTCTCACATTGTCACGGTAGCATTCTCTTCTTTAAGGGTCTACATTAAAAATTTTTACGACACTGCATCCAGAAAAACGCCACGCATAAAGACACTAAAAAAATGAAGTACTTTGCACGCGACTCAGCCTTTAGGAAGTGACAAAATGGACCTCCACTTCTCTTAGGGCTGTCGCAGGTACACCAGCTGAAGATTAAGCAGCAGGGTCTCAAAGGTCCAGGTGACCTGAGGATACTTCCTCCGCATCTTACTGACGAAAACACTGGGCTGTAATGTAAGGCTGCCAGGCTGGAGAAACGCGGGTCCCCCGCCTGTGATTTACAGCTGCCCCACCCAACTCTGAAGGGCGCCTGCGGATCACTCTAACCCCCAAAGGCTTACACTGCCTCTCCCCAGTTCCAAGAGCGGGGTGCGGGCCTGTACACGAGAAAAACTCCCTCGGCCTCTCCCCGGCGCACATGGCAGAGCCGCTCCTGGGCTTGCGCAGGCGCAGAGCCACTGGGTTCGGTCGCCTCCTCACATCCCACCGCCAGTGTCCGGGTCCCGTTACCTTGAGAGCCTCCAGTCCCATAAGACGAGTCTTGCGGTCCTGATCCTTGATGATGAGGAAAGGGCGCCCATATTCATCGAAGGCGAGAGTCCCTACAGACGCCATAGTGCAGCAGCAGTGGTTATTCTCCCGCAACCGGCGGAGACCACTCCGGAACAACCGAGCGCGCACCTTCCGCTCGTGGGAGGAGTCAACAGCTCGCGCATGCGCAGCACAACCCGCGTGAGACTTATTTTTCACTTGAGACTAGTTTAACGCCGACAGTACTTTCTGGAATCGGCGGTCTTCGGAAACTTCTATCATCTAGGGAGCTGTGGGGGGGGCTTCGAAGTCACAGACGGAAACTTTAGAACCCACAAGCCAAGAATAGAGAGAATTTAGTCATTTCGTGAAGTTATACAATATCGTGTTTCTGGATAGCATCCCAACTAGGAACTCGGAGTTTTTTGTGCCTTTTTCCTACCCCGACTCCAAGAAGATGGTAGAATCCACTTCCGGGTTTTATTTTCCACTGCCGGAAGTCTCGCGATGGAAGGAGGAGGAGGTGAGGGTGGCCCGGCGAGGCGGGCTCCTCGGGTGCTGGCCTGGGAGCAGGCGCGGCGTGGGTCCCTCGGTCGGCCTGGTCTCCTCCCCGCAGCCTGTCCGTGTGGGGGCGGGCGGGAGTGGGAGCCGCTGGCGCCGTTCAACAGCTGCCGGGCGCTGGGTGCACAGGGCTCGCCCGGGTGCCCTGTCTCGGGCCGCCGGAGCGGGCCGCGGGCGCGTGTGCTGGTAGCGGCATCTAGCTGCCGGGAAGCGTTCTAAGCCCTTCGGGCGAATAAGTACGCAGTTCTTTGCACGCCCTTAATGTGACCTGGGTACTGGAGTCACACTGCCTGGGCGGGAATCACGGCTCTGCCGTTTCACTGGCTGTGCCTTACGGACAGTGACTTTAATCCTCTGTGCCTCGGTTTCCTTGTCTGCAAAAACGGCAGTAATGTAGTATCTGCCTTACACAGCTACTGTTCAGATTCAGGGAGAGCAGTGCCTGGCTCTTAGCCAGTTCTGTTTAAGTGTTTGTTAAAGAAATGCCCAGTTTGCGCACATGGCTCAGTAAGTTGCCCAGCGTTATAGAACTAGCTAGTAAAGAGCAGAATTGCATAGCCTTGCGCCAAGGGTGCCCCTCTGAAGCCCTGCGTTGTGCTGCCTCGGAAAGCTCTCTCCTGGCAACCCTAACTAACTAACTACTACCTGGTTCTCTAAATCCCTTCTTCAGAGCACTGGTCATGACCAAGTATTTTATGGGCTATGTATTTGTTACGGGTTTCCAGCCTCCCTCTACCCCAGCTGCCAAAGAACATGGGCTTACCCCTGTTGTATTATTTCGTAGTCTTTATTAGGTACTTAAATATTGAAATGAATGCATGCGTTATAACATGGTTAACCCTGGCCTGAAAGTCAAGAGCTGGCTTTGTCACTGGAGGGTTGGTGACCATTCAATCTCTCCTAATGCTTGGCCCACTTATTCTCAAGACAGAGCGATGACCCAGGGACATTGTAGATTTTGCAGTCAGGACTCCATTCACTTTAACTTGGCCACGTCAGCATTTTCTCATTTGAAATGGTGAATTCTGCAGTATCTGTGGCTCATTAGATTGTTGTGAAGTGTAGGAAATGTCTACTATTCTTCATGCAGTTTATTTTTATTTCCTGTCAAAACATTGGGGGAACAAAGGTTTTTCGTAGTATCATTAGGTGCTGTATATCAAAAGGACACAAATGACATTAGGCCAGTATAAGAAAGGCTTCTTAAGGGACCAAAAAATATGTTAAAGGGACATAAAAATATGCTGCAGTTTTTCAGCTGGTATGTAAATGCAGGTACACAGTAGCCCTTAAATACTGTGACATTAAAATATAAACCTCAGTTTAAACTCAGGTGGCACGCCACAATTCCAAACAGGCCTGTTTTTTCTTTCTGGCCTTTTTCCTTTTGCTTGAACTTGGATGAGAACCCTGTCTACTTTTTTGTGTGCCTCTCAGTCACTGCCTCTATCTTTAGGTGACCCAGATCTGTCCCTGAAAATTGAGTTTTCAGTCATTGTCAGAAGTCAGTAACTAGGCAGGGGACAACAGAAGTTCATCTCTTTGGGTTCTTTCTTTTCAAGGACTGACTCCCTCTTAAGTGCTCAACAAAAACAGCCAGTGGCCACCACAGCTCTTACCCAATGGAATGGCTCAGTGTTCCAAACAGCACAGTTGACAGAAGTCTTTGTCATTTATATCTTAGTAAACAGTCTTGTGACTCTAAATGTGTTCCATTGAAAGGACTAGAAATTTTAAGAGACAGTTTTGATTTTAGTTTTGAATCTTCAGGGACTGTTTTTCACTGATAAAAGTCAAAACATTTTTCATCGAATGGAGGTAACAGTATAGTCATATATTGGGTTTACACAGTAACTTCAAAAGCTCATACAAATTTTTGTGAAGTTAATAGTCTTGCAGGTGTAAAAACTTGTGACAGGAAATTCAGTGATTTCATCAAGGGAGACACCGCTGCCTGTGTTTCCTTTCTTAAATTACAGATATTGTAATGACTTTGCTCAAAAAATTTCATCCCAGTGCATAAGAATAAAATACACATTTAGCCTGCCATCAAGGTCTCACATTTGCCTTCCTGTGCTGTCTGCCACTCTGCTCAGCAAATGGTTTCCCACCTTCTATGCCTTAGTTCCAAGGCTCCCTTCTTTTGTTAATACCCCCTTTCCAGCAACCTCATGCACTGCTCACATTCTGTCAACATCTCCCTGGTTCCACCTCCCCCTGTATTCCCAAAGCATTTTGCACACCTTATAGCATTTCTTACAGCCTGCCTTGTGTGTGTCTCAAGTGGACCTATCATGCACACAGGTTAGGTAGGAGCCCTGAAGACGGGAGCTCTTTGTTATATCTTTTGCTAGTTAAATTGCAGGGTACAAGTCTACACAGGTGAAGCAGAACTTGGGTTGTCTAGTTAACTGTCTACTGGCGTATGCCGATTAGAGAAACTCTTCATTAATGGACCAATGGATAAACAAAATGTGGTATATCCATACAATGGAATATTATTTGTCTGTAAAATGGAATAAAATGCTGATACACAGTACACCATGGATGAATCTTAAAAACATGCTAAGTGAAAGGGGCCCGTCACAAAAGACCACATACTGTATGATTTCACTCCTATGAAAGCCCAGAATAGGAACTTGATAGAGAAAGTAGACGAGTGGTTGCTTAGGGATAGGGAGTGAGGGGGAGGGTAGAGAGGTGGTAATGAAAGGTTAAGGGGTTTCTTCTTGAGGTATTGAAAATGTTCTAAAATTGACTGTGACATAGCTATGAATATACTAAAAACCTTGAATTGTGTACGTTAAACTGTATGGTATATGAGTTACATCTCAAGAAAGTTGTTAAAAATTATTGATTTCCCCTCCCCCCTCCCATGATGGTATTGAGAATAATAATAGCAGCTAACAGTCATCACTCTTTCCAGCCTGTGCTAAGTGCTTTATATGCATTATTTATTTAACTGATCAGTAACCCTGTGAGGATAGTATTATTTCTTTATTTATTTTTAAAATTTTAAATATTTTTCCTTTTATTGAATTTATTGGAGTGACACTGGTTAACAAAATTTTACAAGTTTCAGGTGCACAATTCCACAATACATCATCTGTACCCTGTATTGTGTGTTCATCACCCCAAGTCAAGTGATAGTATTATTTTGAAATCCTACAGGTGAGGAAACCCAGCCTTAACTACAACTTACCTAATGTCACAGAACTAGTTAAGTCTGAGATTCCAAATCCTCTTAACCTCTCTGCTGTACATTTGGGATGTCCATGGGATAATTTTATATAAGACATGGTGAATGTGCTTTTACTATTAAAAAAATAATCAAATGCATGACTACTATAGCTCGTAAGGTCCTCCAAACACTGCTGAAAAGTATAACTGGAAATGTATTTAAAACTCTTGCTTTCTATTAAACACCATCACCTTCCTAAACTTTACTTTTATTTTATCTCCATCACTAGCACCAGCAGTAGACTTTTGTTGTTTTTGTTTCTGAGTTGGTTTCTACTATGAACCAGTTTTAAAATTCACTTTAGGGGACCTCAGGCATCAAGAAGAACAAAGCTCCATTGCAAAGGAGGTGCTGACTGTTGGTCAGCTGCTCTGGAGCAGGGTCTCACTGCTGTGAACCAGCTTTCGGTGTGTCATGTGTTCAAATTTGTACCTCCCAAAATTGTAACAGATCATCACATTTCTAGGTATGATAGGTAGAATAATCACCCCCTCCCCTGCAAGAGGTCCATGTCCTAATTCTCAGGACCTGTGAATATGTTACATGAGAGATTTTTGCAGATGGGCTTAAATTAAGGACCTAGAGATGGGAAAATTATCCTAGATTATCTGGGTGGGACTGATGTAATTACAGGGGTCCCTATGAAGGAAAGAGAGAGGCAGGAGGGTCATAGAAGATGTCATGATGAAAGCAGATGTTGGAGTG